ACAGTGTCTTGCGTAATTATTAATACAGCTTGAACAAACACAAATACTTTCTTATAAATATTTTACTGAAATGACCACGACAAAATAACAGATCATGATGAGGTGAAAGCAAAGTGATACATGATTACTATACTATATGGAATCCAGTGGGTCCAGAAGCTTTTCTTTGAATAATACCCTGTATTTGACTCCATCCACCTTCCCATCAACTCTCCCTGTCCCTGCTGAAGAAAATAAGGCCCATAACATGACGCAGCCAACCACATATTTGACACTGGAGATGGTGCATTGAGGGAGATGAGCAGCGTTAGTTTTGGATTTGAGCCAAAAACATTTCTTTTGGACTCTCTGACCACAGCATCTTTCCACCATGAATGTGCCCCCTGCCCTTCTTCTTGTGCCTTTATTTCAACCTTTTTTATTTCCCACTTGTCTATAAAGGGCACACTTGTGTAGTGTATGACTAATATTTGTCCCTTGCAGAGATTCCCCCAGGTGAGTTGTGGACAAATGCAGAATAACCATTGACCACGTGTCGGAATCTGCGATCAGTGTTGTCCTTGTTGCAGCTGTGAGTGTAGAAAAACAGCCAGGTCTTAATAGATTTGAAATTTCAGCCATAATAATTTCATTCAGGATGCTGTTTAGAAACCCAGCTCTGAGGCCCTCACAGAACAGCTATCATTACACGGGGAGGAGATTACACAAAGGAGGTCTCTATTTAATAGTTAGGGAAAGGTGTGATCATTCAGTACCTCTCGTATCGTTATGCTTCCACTTCACAGTTGTCTGTTACTTATTTGTAAACTTTCAGTAACCAATTCAATATAAAATCTTTTTTTTTTATGGTTGTGAACAACAAAGTTCCTGGTGTATTAGTACTTCCGAGAGGCTCTGTAATCCCCCAGTGTCCGGTCCAAAGAGTGGCGGGCTGTGGTCACGTGTTTGCGAGCTGCAGTCTCCCTGTGATGTGGGCCACGAAGCAGCGCAGCAGGTACACCCCCCAGAAGTTCAAAGAGCTGAGGCAGAGAGACACAACGTTAACAACATGAGTGAGTGTTCTCTCCTCAGAAGGACGTCTCATTTAGCTGCTCTTATCTTTTGAATAAACATACCACTGTGCATCGTAACCTATACGTGTTTTACAGTGTAATCTTTGATCCACACGAGGCGGCGCCGTTGTAAACGTGGTTCATGAGGTGCAGTCCTGAGCAGTGGTTAAAAGTCTGCCTGACGACTAAAGGGTTGTTGAGCACCATTCCTTTAAAAACAGGATTTTCTATTTATTTTAAGACTTAATTGATCATTTGTATAATTGTATGATCTTTATTCATTCAATTCTCTTTATTTACAAAACTTAATTGTCATACAAGTCAAGCACACTCTAAAGTTTGTAGATTGGAAGGAAGTTGCATAAGCTCATAGGAGGGCCCCAAAACCAATACATGACATTGAATTGGTCTTTGTGTTATTTACGTGAATGGTAAATAAATCAGTGTGTCTGTGTGAGGACAGAGGACTTCTTTCATGAATCCATGGAGTTTACCGTATAGACACGCAATTCTAAGGATTCGTCACAGTGTTTGAGAGGGGAGAAATAAAACAACTCCAGTTCTATGTTTTATGAAGAAATATTCTCAAATTGAAGTCATTACATTTTTAACTGATGTGAATATATTTTTTTTTTGCATGCATTGTTTAAAATGTATACAGTGGTCCCTTATTTATGGCTCTGGTTACGTTCTATTCATAACCAGCAGTAAGCAAACCTGTTGGTTGTAGGTCTGAGCGCTGGTGCAGCTGTCAAAAGCTGTGCATACACTGTAAAATACAGCTGCTACAGGAAGACCGCGGTAGTCCCCACTCCCCGTGCACATGTTTACCTTTAACCTCAGTGAGTTAAAGGTAAACATTTCCTCCTCACGCTCCATCTTTCTCCGTTTGCTGTAAGCACTAAAAACCCGCCACTGTGAATGCGGAAACACCCACCAGTGACAAGCGGTGAAGTTGGTGATTGGTGAGGCACTGACTTCAGCCCAATCAGATGAATACATATATCAGATAAATCAACAGGACCTACAGAGCGGCCTCTTCACTATTTGTTTGGCTACACCAGAATACGTTTCATGCCCGCATTGTTTACTCATACAAAACGCAAAAGTATGAAAAAGCACATTTAATGGTAAGGCCCATGTTATGGGCCTTACCTTGAACATGAACTGCACAGACCACTTCAGTTCAGACCAGTTTCATGTTTAAGTCCAGATAATAGTTTGAGCGTAGATATGTAATCCTCCATTTGGAAATAAGTCCAATGAGTTTTAAAAAGTAAAACAAAACAGATGTCTCCTCCATAAACTCCTCTCGTGTTTAGCTAGCTGCAGTCGAATCTCGGGTGCATCCAATTTCTAAAATCAACCTTCTTACCCTTCCCCTCTCTTTCTTATCATTCCTGGAACATTACCCTAACTGCATTATAAATTATCTTAAAATGTGTTACATGTATGTTAGCCTAACCTGTTGCTGCCAGATGAAGAACAAGAAAGGAGCTTTACGATGGAATCGGATGCAACCAAATTCTGTGCTCACATGCGCCCCCTACCCTGAGGCTGGCCTCACTTGGTGACATTACAAGCCGTGGTTGAGTGCAATTAAGACCCATATTTGCTGTAAAAAACACAATTTATGACCCATACCAACAACGCGCGCACGAGTCCTATCATGAAGTTAAAAAAAAAGTTCATTGTGTGACTTGAGTAAAGTGCAGTAACGGGGTGTCTGCAATTAGCTAGATAAGATTCAGATTCATTGCCATTTGCAGTAAAACCACATTGGAAAAACTGTTACTCGTTACTGAAGAAAGTAACGGCGTTAGAAACGCTGTTTATTTCAACGCCATTATTCCCATCACAGTATATTTGTGCAATACTTGTATATTGGTATGTGTGAACTTATGAATAAAGTGGTGCTGGGATTTATATGGCACAAGTTATGTTACAAAACCTAATAGGTAGGTGAAGGAAGTTTATTTGTATAGCACAGTTCATAAATAAGCACTAACTAGCACTAGTGAGATCACAGTGGTTTACAATAGTAACACTTGCCTTCCAGTGGATCTTTGCCGTAAATAGAAAGTTTATGAGAGTTACAGTAAACGTGAGAGCGCCGTGTCACGTTTAGGGCCAGCTCACCTGACCATGAGGGGCTGAGGGAAGCAACTGGAGGTCTGGCTCTGGATCAGCGCCTGCAGGGACAGGAGGTTCTGCAGCAGGGTTCCACACCGGCCTTTGTCTATTTTAGTCACCACCATCTGAACAGAGCCAGCAGTCAGATTCAGTTTATATGTCGAGACAAAATACAGTGCCTTGCGAAAGTATTCGGCCTCATTGAACCTTTCAACATTTCAGGCTTCAAACATAAAGATATAAAAAATTATTTTTTTTTGTCAAGAATCAACAACAAGTGGGACACAATCGTGAAGTGGAACAAAATTTATTGGATAATTTAAACTTTTTTAACAAATAAAAAACTGAAAAGTGGGGCGTGCAATATTATTCGGCCCCCTTGCGCTAATACTTTGTAGCGCCACCTTTTGCTGCAATTACAGCTGCAAGTCGCTTGGGGTATGTCTCTATCAGTTTTGCACATCGAGAGACTGGAATTCTTGCCCATTCTTCCTTGCAAAACAGCTCGAGCTCAGTGAGGTTGGATGGAGAGCGTTTGTGAACAGCAGTCTTCAGCTCTTTCCACAGATTCTCGATTGGATTCAGGTCTGGACTTTGACTTGGCCATTCTAACACCTGGATACGTCTATTTGTGAACCATTCCATTGTAGATTTGGCTTTATGTTTTGGATCATTGTCCTGTTGGAAGATAAATCTCCGTCCCAGTCTCAGGTCTTTTGCAGACTCCAACAGGTTTTCTTCCAGAATGGTCCTGTATTTGGCTCCATCCATCTTCCCATCAATTTTAGCCATCTTCCCTGTCCCTGCTGAAGAAAAGCAGGCCCAAACCATGATGCTGCCACCACCATGTTTGACAGTGAGGATGGTGTGTTCAGGGTGATGAGCTGTGTTGCTTTTACGCCAAACTTATCGTTTTGCATTGTGGCCAAAAAGTTCGATTTTGGTTTCATCTGACCAGAGCACCTTCTTCCACATGTTTGGTGTGTCTCCCAGGTGACTTGTGGCAAACTGTAAACGAGACTTTTTATGGATATCTTTGAGAAATGGCTTTCTTCTTGCCACTCTTCCATAAAGGCCAGATTTGTGCAGTGCACGACTGATAGTTGTCCTATGGACAGACTCTCCCACCTCAGCTGTAGTTATTTGCAGTTCATCCAGAGTGATCATGTGCCTCTTGGCTGCATCTCTGATCAGTCTTCTCCCTGTTTGAGATGAAAGTTTGGAGGGACGGCCGGGTCTTGGTAGATTTGCAGTGGTCTGATACTCCTTCCATTTCAATATAATTGCTTGCACAGTGCTCCTTGAGATGTTTAAAGCTTGGGAAATCTTTTTGTATCCAAATCCGGTTTTAAACTTCTCCACAACAGTATCTCGGACCTGCCTGGTGTGTTCCTTTGTCTTCATGGTTCTCTCTGCGCTTTAAACAGAACCCTGAGACTATCAAAGAGCAGGTGCATTTATACGGACACTTGATTACACACAGGTGCATTCTATTTATCATCATCAGTCATTTAGGACAACATTGGATCATTCAAAGATCCTCACTGAACTTCTGGAGTGAGTTTGCTGCACTGAAAGTAAAGGGGCCGAATAATATTGCACGCCCCACTTTTCAGTTTTTTATTTGTTAAAAAAGTTTAAATTATCCAATAAATTTCGTTCCACTTCATGATTGTGTCCCACTTGTTGTTGATTCATGACAAAAAATTAAAATGTTATATCTGAGCCTGAAATGTGGCGAAATGTTGAAAGGTTCAAGGGGGCCGAATACTTTTGCAAGGCACTGTATACTGGGTGCAGCTCTGACTGCCACTCCCCCAACCCAAAAATGGATTAAGGGGAAGAAAATGAATGGATAGATGGATGGATTTGTGAGAATAGAATAATCTGGATAGAAGTACTCAGGAATATACATATCTGTGAATATGTAAACATTTACAGTATAAAATACAGAGAAAATAGGATAGTACAGATGTTAATATATAAGGACAAAGCAGATGTACAATCTGTCACAGATATCAGGACGGAGTGCGGAAAGAACATGCTCTTGTACCGCGCACTCTGGCATCGGAGCTGTAGGAGTCTGTTTGAGAAGGAGCTCCTTTGCCCCTCCGGTAGTCTGGTGGAGTGGATGTGTTGGGTTGTTCATGATGGAAAGCAGTTTTTCCAGAGACCTTCTGTCTCTCCACTGTTGTAAATGTCTCCAGCTGACAGCCAATAACCTGTCCAGCTTTACGGATGAGCTTGTCAATCCGGGAAAGGGCCCTTTTGGTGGTGCTGCTCCCCCAGCAGACCACAAAAAAGGCGCTGGAGACCATGGACTGGTAGAAGATCTCCAGCAGTTTACTGCACACGTGGAAGCTTCCTCAGGAAATAGTCTGCTCATGCCCTTCTTGTACACAGCATTGGAGTTTTCCTTCCAGTCCAGTTCACGTGGACTCCTGGCCAGATATCCCATCGAAATGTGGCTTCCACCTAGCTTGCCATCGCCATTTCATTGACAAGAAACGCATACAGTGCTCTCGGAACAATGTAGAGGTCAGCATCTTCTCAACGTCAGAATGACGTTTTCTTGCAAGGAGGCTTTGATCTAAACCTCTCCTATGATGGCGACCTCGCAGAGAAGGAGATGTGTTGTCCCCCATTTGTTTAGTTTGCAAGAAGGTGGACAAATAAGTGACTTGTCAGAGTAAGAGAGTGAAAGACAAACTTATTCTGGCCAAAAGTATAAATGCAGGTAGGCCTATTTTGTTGATGTTTTTTTTTGTGATTTAGGGGCCAACCTATAACACAACTACAGCAGGCAAGGCCAACTAAATAAATAAATAAGAACAAAGTCAGATTGATAGACCTACTAGATACTTTACTACAATTACATCTATTATTATTGGTATTGTATATTTATGTATTAGGGCTTTAACGCATTAACGCATGTGAATGACCCGCCCAAGCATCCCATAATAACACTCTGAAGTGACACGGACACATGCGTGAGAGATGGCAACAGGGCAGGTAGGCATTAGTTAGCATCAGCACAACTTCTTACAAGCTGTACAACAATCACTGATGAAATGGTACAAAAGCAACGCACTGCTAACAAAATATACAGTACAATAACGGAAAGATTACCGCTAGTTTTGCGTCGAAAGTTAGTCCGCGGAAGTCCGCACTCACATCATATCTTCTGGAGAGACCTGCAAGATAGCTATATTCACCCAGGCTTGATTTCTTCTTTGATCATTTTTTTCACTTTGGTTCCCTCTTTTCCTCCTCACTGTTTTGTCTTTTGGACTGTTTTACAGCTGTGTATGCAGTTACAGCCAGAGAAGGTATAGCCACCTTCTCCTACCATGCTGCTGTTGTTCACATGCGCTGCAGATGCTATAGAGGGGGCGTGGCCTAAGAGACTGAGCGTCACGCAAAGTTTCTATGGCCTGAATTCATACACAGCTGAATCAATGAGCTAAACTTTTCAATGAAATTACGGGTTTTAATGCAACTTAGAAAAATCGCTGTCTACTACAGAAAGACAAAATGTGAATAATGTTAATGCTGTTTTATGTGGATTTATTGTTAGTGTACATATGTACTGTATTTGTTTACAGGGCGGCACGGTGGCTGAGTGGATAGCACTCTCGCCTCTCAGCAAGAAGGTCCTGGGTTCGAATCCCGGTCGGACCAGGGCCTTTCTGAGTGGAGTTTGCATGTTCTCCCCGTGTCTGCGTAGGTTTCCTCCGGGTACTCCGGTTTCCCCTACCACTAAAAATATGTCCAATAGTTCTAGCATGTGCCTCCTGTACTGGCGACCGCGCTCCCATCTCTGTGTGGAGTGAGAGACAAATGCCCATAATTAACAATTGTAAACCGCTTTGAGACTCAGATTTGCAGTGAAAAGGCGGTATATAAATAAATACTTACTTACTTACTACTTACTTACTCTATAATTTTGCAGTTAGTTCAAAATGTGATTAATTACGATTAATTTAGTTTTTAAGCTGTAATTAACTTGATGTTAAAAAAAGTAGGGCGTTTGACAGCCCTAATATATAAGTTGGCCGTTTATGAATCCAGACCACTGAACCATTGCATTGGTGGCAGTTATTTGTTTAGGCAAATAGATTTATTATCTATACTATTATTGCATTGTTGTGATGACTGCAAGCTAGCATTATTATATTACGAGTAGGCATACATGTACATCGTATATCTGTTTTGTTTTTTCTTTATTGACTTAGTCCTCTCTGTTCAGGTGTTTCTTATGCTGGGATGAAATGATTTAAAACACAATTTCAATTGAAGCCATAAACACCTTGTCCTGCCACCAACTGAACATGCCCTCGAACAACACTACCAGAGCGCAAACTATCAATCAATCCATCATATAATTCTACAGCACATGATAGAGGCACCCTCGCCTGATGGTCATGGTTGGATTCTTAAAGAAAGTAAGGACCTGAAAATACAGTGGATGATCAATGATCCAGCTAGAATCTGTTATAAACTCTGAAATACGCAAGGCCACGCGCCACTTCACAAGTGTGGTATGTACGGCCGTCCATTTCAAATTAGTGTGACTTTCTTCGCTTCACATGACACGTGCGGTGTATACGGGCCGTAGCTGTTGCAAGTAAACAGTGTGTTGCTATGGTAATGAGCACTTGCTCTTTTTTGTTGTAAAACCAAGCTGAACCAGAACCAATCCAGCACCAGTCCACTACCTGCACCTTAGAGGAAAAGGGCTAAGAATGTTGGTTATTAAGCAACCAAAAGTATTTAGCTTTAATAGCGTACAGTTTCTTGCATTTATTCATTTAAACATGTGTACATTGTAGTCAGATAAAAACGGATAAACTTGAGCTTTGGAGTTTTCCTCCTGCAGGAGGAGCACTCCGATGTGAGCACACGAGAGAAGTGTGTGTTTGTTTCTTATCTGTCGTTAGCCGTGTTTGCTGCAGCCTTGTTTGTGGACTTTCCCAGTCACTCCTTTCTTAATCCTAAAAAGCCCAAACACAGGAGTAGACAACAGTACCAGCCGCGTTATCACAGACAACAAGCTCCAGCTCGGCTTTGTGTACAGCACCTGTTTCATCCTTTAGTCCTGTTGGAATCACTAAGGAAAACAAGA